TTGGCCATCCGTTCTCTATAGCATGGCTTAGCCCATTCGCAACACCAGACCAAGGAAAAGCAGACCCATACCAGTATGTGGTCTGAGGAATTCTTGACCAGCATTTCCACTAAGATAGAAACATATTGCAGCACTACTGTTTAAATTTTCCATGAATGTTTAAAACGAAAAGCAAGACAAACTTTTTTTTATGTCTAATGAATGGCTGATAATTGCAGAGAAAAAAAAGCCCTGTATTCCACAACTTCAGATAATTCTATATCTCTGGCTGAAACTGCTGCTGTTGCTTTTCTTTCTTTCTTTCTTCTTCTTCTTTTTTTTTTTTTTTTTTCTTAATCATGTTAACTTTACTGGCCTTTGTTTCTCTCTGCTTTCTGTATGGCATAACTAACGTGAAGGGAGTTTTCCTTCTCCGTTGTGACCCACCTCTTCTGAGTAGGTTTTCATGCTGTCTCCTGACTGTGCTGAGCTCTGTGGAAGACATATGAGTGCCAAGTCCTACACAGACACCTTTGGACTTCCTGAAGGAGCACGCAGCTCTTTCAGAAATGAACTTGAACTGGGAAGTAGACCCTTCACTTTATCAAAAGGCTCAAGACGAGAACGTGACACGGCAAGAGAGCCAGTTGACCTGGTGATTGCACGCAGTTAAAGTATTTAAAACAAACATTGCCAACACTGCTTCCCCCTCGTTTTTCCTTCCAGCTACAAAATCGATTTCATCTTTCTGGCATTATTTTGTCTGTTCCCTCCCTTGTGCGCAGGAAATTGTTGCCATCTTAGGGTAACTGTGGCAGATTTAGAAGACTTTGTGGATTTTTAAAATGCCTTACATTTGCAGAAAAGAAAGAGGAAGAATCTGATTTTCAAATGCTTAGAATGGCAGCAGTATCATGTTGGTGTGTGTTTGTCTCGGTACATGAGTTGTTGGAGCAATACCTGTTAAATAGTGTTTAAAAACTGATGTGAATGCCTGGAGGCAGACAGATAAAGACTAACCTTGGTGGGATGTGTCGTTATGCCAGGGAGATTGATTCTACATTCTTAGCATCGCCCTGGTGTAGAGCTTTGTAAATCTTTTATCATGTGTATGTACACCTGTGTGCAAATGCACACAATGTGTATGTATGTTAAAGCTGGGAACTGGTGGTGGTAAGGAGCATGTGCACTTCATGGACTGTGTGGTGATGAAAGAGGGAGGGACAGAAGGCATCCCAGAAACAGGTAAGGCCAAACCATTCATAACTGTGACCGATACCTTGTGTTCAGGCAGGAATTTTGCTATATTTTTGGATCATTACTCCAATAGACTTATCAGAATATTGCGAACTAAGGAAAAACTACACATCAGCTGTGTCCAGGAATTCCAAGGAATCTTTTCTTTCCTTGGTTTAAATAAAAGCCGTATTTTTTGGAAGATGATGTGTTCAGACTGCTTCAAAGCCATTGGGGGATGGAGGGAAATCAGGGAAGGAGAAATTTAGCGGATGTCTCATTTTGGAAGTAATGTGAATGCTGCATCTTTTCAATCTGTCAATGCTTCCATATGGAAAACAAATGCAATAAAACTTTTCCAAAAAAATTCTTTGCTGTTCTTAATTTCTTGAAACTTCGGGAAAATCTGTAATGGCTTCCTGAGCTTGGTCTGAACAGGGCTGCTTTTGTCATCCAGATAGGTAATGAATGAATGCATCTCACAATATAATTAATTGCTGAATTGCATGTTCTAGTTTTACTTTATGTCCTGTTATTCACTACGCATTTTGAAGGAAGGTTGCTTGCATTGTTCTGGCTTTTAGATCATTGTGGGGAAAACAAAAATGTAATTACTCATTTGAGATTTCAAACAAAGACAAAGTGTTGAAGTATTACCCAGTATTGTATTTTTCAGGCAAGCTTTCTGATGTTTGGAGCTGGCAGAGATGTCTGTTGGTGCCTGTGTGTGCCTTACTAACTGGTGTTCTCTGGTTTATTTGCACTGTGCATCTCAGAGTGTGACTTGGTGCAGTGTGGCTCAGCACCAACATGAGGAAGGCACACTTGCTGGCTCTCCCAAACAGCACCGCCTGATTTCAGAAGCTGGTTCTGCTTTGGTGCAGCTGACAGAAATGGGAGCACAGATGTGAAGAGGAGGAGTTATGGTATTTGCCAGTTCTGCTTGTGCCTTTCTTTTGGATTTTATAAGCATATGAAAAGAACCAAATGCCTTCCTTCTGAGTCGTGAGAGCTGTCTGCAGGTCGCTGCTCCTGAGCCAGAGCCCCCAGCACCCTGTATGGCATAGCAGAGAAACGGGTGCTGAGGGAGATGGGGCGAGGAGCCAATTACACAGAGCTGCTGGTAAAACATAAGTTCCTGACTGCTGATTCTTTTCCCACTCGGCTCTATTTATCTGCGCTTGCACATCATAAAGTAAACTTAGTTATCTGGGAACCTTTCTTAATCTTTCCCTCCCTTTCTGTAACCTTCCTCACGCCCTGCTGACTGTGGCAGCCAGGCAGAATGTGAACAGGAGCTGATTTTGAACAGTTTTGTCTGTTTTGAATATGTGCCCAGGAGGGATCAGTAAGGCTGGGGATGGAGAGGAGGGGGAGAGCCTTGCCCTGCCTGCTGTACTGCTGCTTTGAGCTGACCTCACGTAGTGCCATGATTGGCAGATGCTGTTCTGAGTGATGGGTGGTGGTTTGGAAAGATGGGGCTTGCTGCTTGGAAACCTTCATGATCCTTATCCCCCATTTTAGCAGCTGGATGGATTGAACTGGGTTACACAACCAATTGCCCAAGGAAGAAGCTGTGGTTCCTCATCCCTGGAGGCACTTGAGGCCAGGTTTGATGGCACAGCCTGATCCAGAGGGTGGCAGCCCTGCCCGTGGCATGGGGTTGGCACTGGGTGGGCTTTAAGGTCTCTTCCAACCCAAAATGTGTTGTGACTTTGTGACTGAAGACAGGGTTAGAGCTGGCATGACCAGGGAGGCTTTCCATGCTTGGTGCTTTTTTTCTCCAATGTTAGTGCAGAAACACTAACTAGCTGCTTGTTAATTGTGTAGTATCACATTATGAGGCTCACTGGGTATCCAGTTGGGGTGCCACAGAGATTCATTCGCATGTTGTTGTTTTCCCTTTGCAAAGCTCTGAGATGATTTGTGGGTACTTAGAGAACACCTCCAGAATCAGAATGGAGGGCTGGTTTGTGTCACGCTATTCTAAAGCTGCTGTTTTAAATGGTTTGAACTGAACTTGCTCATTTTTCCTCTCCTTGAACATCTCCAAGCTCCAGACCCAGGTCTTTGCTTCTCGAGGAGCAGCATTTCTGCACTGTCACCTTTGTCATTGTCACTCTCATCTACAAAACTGACTCCATCTAATGTGTAATGCAGAAGGTGGGCATGAAGATGTGTGCCTGACTTCACATAGGAGTGGCCTTAAAAACAAGTGCTCCAAGTGCTGTGTTTCTACATAGAAAAGACTTCCAGACTGAGCACTTACAGTCAGCGTGTGTCCTTACTGTGCTGGTGGGAAGAGGATGGGTTGGAGCTGACCCACTGCTCCTTCGCACTGGGATTGGCCTTGGACAATTTGTGAAGCAGAAATAGTGTTTCTCAATATTTGCTCTTAATTGGTGTTAAACATGCATGTTCTCATATTACTTTTCATTACTAAGCAACATCTGTCTGTAGTAATTCCCAGTGACTGGGAAATACAGCACTGTTTTCTTGTATCTGAACCATTGTAAAGAAAAAAAGCCCAAATAAGGTGAAATTTCAGGTTGTGATTGTATTTTGTTACTTGTTGGAAGGATTCTAAAAGCACTGGGAGAAGAGGTCTCGGTTTGAAAGGGGGATGACCTTCCAGAAGCCTTCTTCTTACCAAGCAATACCAACTTACACCCAAATAATTCGCCAAGGTTGGGGCTGTCCGTGAGCCGAGTCGTGTTTTGGGGACTTGATGTTACGTCTGGGGATGAATTCATTGGTACAGCAGGATTTCTGTCTGTCTGCCTGTCTGTCCATCTCAGTAGCTGAGCTGTGAGCACCATGATGCAGCTCAAATACCTATTTTGAACATGAAACGACCCCAAACTCTCCTCTTCTTGCAGGGCATCGAGCGCCTTAAGAAGCAGAAGCCGACCTGGGAGCGGACCAGAGGCTGGGAGGGGATGAAGGCAGCCTTCGGCGGTACCCCATCCCTGTCCTGGCTCAACCCCTTCTCCAACGTGGACTGCAGGAGCCCACCTCCAACCCCCGCCACCCCTGCGGGCGCCATCATGACGCAGGAGGAGATCGAGCAGTTCCTGGCTCAGGAGGTGTCCATCCAAGTGCCCCATGAGTAGCAGAGCATCCACCCAGGGCCCAAGGGACGCGTCCAGGTGGTGTGTGTTATTTTATTAACTACTTGTGGTGGAGAAGCAGGGTGGGTTTTCTTGTCTTTTTTTTTTTTTTTTTTTTTTTTTATTCGGGTACTTCTGGTGCAGAATATAATTCAGGACTATTTATGGGGAAGTCGGGTAGAGCACCAGCAGAAGCAATGCAAATCTCCAGAGCAAGTTTAACCCAAAGTGAGAGCCACACGCCCTTTGGAGCTGTGTCCTGCCTTACTGAGCTGCTCTTGTGTGGCCTTCAGGGAGAGACGAGGTGTGGGGCCGGAGCCGTGGGGCCTCGTGTCCTCATTGCACTGGCTGGATGAGTGTTGCCTCTTGCCCTGCCAGTGCCTGCATTCGGAGGTGATGCTCCAGGCATCAGCACTCTGACAACCAAGATCTAGACTGGTTTTTGGCTGTTTTTGCCTTGTTGTCATCTCCCCCACCTTACTGACCAGTGACACGTCACCTGGGCAACATGCTCCTGGATTCCCACCCCCCAGTTGTGCAGCTTTGAGGCCCTGTAACGTGCAGCAAAGATAATTATCGCCTTGGGAAAGAGAGATGAAGGAGTTGGGGGATAAACTGAGGCATTGTGGAAGACCTGGATTAACTTTCAGTTATTTATGAAAGCCCAAATTCCACTTTTTTTTTTTTTCCTCATGGCAGTGATAAAGGAGTTTGAACGTGAGATAACAAACAGTCTGGTGGGTGGAAGCTAGGAGTGCAGTTGGGCCAGAATCCAAGAAAACAAGGGGAGATGTTTTGAACCATAGTGACCCCCTGTGTTTCTCCTCTTTTTCAATGAAAAAATAGATTTAGGGGGAAAAAAATGCATAAGGAACTGTGTGTCTATCCAAAATGTCTCGGGTAAAGGGAAACATGCTGTACCTTGGGGAAACTGAGGTATCGTCTTGATGTAGGTTGGCCCTACGAAGAAGTGCAGTGTGGAAATGGGAGGCTGTCTCACTTCTGCACCAGCCTTCATGTCTGCACGTCAGGGTCTGCATCACAGGGACATTGGGGACATATGTGAATCTACACAGGGAGAAGTGGGGGTGTGTAAGGTGGAAGCTGGGAGCTGCTGTTCTCAGCTAACTCTCCCACCTGTGGGTGGAGGTGGGGTTGCAGTGCCCCACAGGAAAACCAGCACTGGAAGCAGCATTTGGTGTAATGTGACAGCTGTATCCACAGTGCTGATTGCTGGGGTGATCTCCTTCCACTTCCTGCATTGCTCCTCAGCAATGTGGGTTTGTGTGCTGTTTCAATAGCTGAAACTAGAAAGCTGTATGAAAGGGGGACTCCTCTCTGCCCGCTCCATGCTGCCACATTTTTGCCCATCAAAGGTGCAGGAGCTGGAAGGATGCTGGCATCAGGAAATCAGAGTGTTCCCTCACTCCTTGGTACCCTCCTGCTCAGCCTCGGTACAGCATGGCAAAAGTCTGAAGCAGCAGAAGTCCTCGTGAGTTGGAATGATCTGCTTCATTCCAAGCCTTGGCATCCACCTCATAGTGTAACTCCCACCAGGTAGCTTGAGACCAAAGTTATTTCCATGAAATTGAAACCAGCCCCCTTCCCCTCCCTGTGGCATTGTGCCTTCACCTCCAGCCCAGACTGGGCTCCATCAGCACTGCAGCATGGGGCTTCAATCCATGGTGGATGGGATCACAGTGGCCATGGGCAGCTTTCATGGTCTTTTAAAGCAGGCTTTCTATGCAAGTAAAGAACCTGTATCTCTTGGAAATATATATATTTTGGTAATCATAACTCTGGTTTATGCCTCCGGATGCTAATTGTACTTATTAAAGAATTAATATTTCTATGCTGCAGTCTGTGCTCCTCCGTTCCCTGTGCTCCACTCTGCCCTGTGGGGCTCCATGCCCTGGGCAGTCTGACCGAGTGCCTGACTTGGTTAGCAAACCTGCCCACAGGAAAGGGGCATGTTTGCCAGCAGGGAGAGAGAGGAAAGGACATGGGGAATTGCTTAAAATGTGTCTTGAGCTCCAGTGCAGAGGGGTCTGGGCAGCCTCATGAGACTGCAGAGGTTGCAAAACAACCCGTGCCCCAGCACAAACATTGGTCACACAGTGAATTTGTCGATTTTAACGCTCTTTATTGAAGCACAGTCAGCTACAATCAGCTACAATCAAAGCAACTATGGCCTTTACACCAGTGTAATTCCCATTGCTTAATGGGATTGTAGTTCTTTGCTCATCAAGCCCTATTCCGCAGTCGAGGAAAGAAGTGGTGGCAGTGACCTGCAGCTGTCACGTGTTCAGGGTCCCCTTCTGTCCACTGCCATGGTGCTGTTCCTAATGGGTGACCATGATGCCCTTCTCCACCGAAATGTCTTTGACCTGGTTGGAGGTCAGCCTGGCCACGATCTTCTTCTCTCCTACTCTTGTTGGAGTGCATATGACTTCAGACTTAATAATCCTGCCCGGCTGTATATCCCTAGGGAAAAAGGAGAACAGTCCCAGCATGAGCTCCTTGCACATCACTGGTCTCATTTGCCTATTTGTCATGGTTTTGCTTAAAGAAAAAGCCGCTGCATGTGTTTAGCATGGGTATGCCCTTCTCCTGCAACCAAATTGCAGCAAGCAGGGCTTGGTACCCTATGTAGTATCCCCCAGACACTGTCTTGTGCATGTATGTTGAAGAGCTGCACCACTCACTGTCTCCTACCGCTTCCTCAAGGAGAATTAACAGACAAGGAAAGGATGTTATTCCATGCCCGTCAGCTGTCTGGGGCTCAGAGTTGCTCAAAACCTCATCTTACCCTTCATCAAACGTTGCCATCTTAAATATGCCCAAGCCCTCCACCATCAGCTTGCAGTTATCCAGGGGGACGTTCAGCTTGTTCTTGAAGATGAAGGCGCAGGTGAAGTCCTTGTTCAGCTGTGCCGTTTCGGGCATCTGGAGGAGGAAAGTGAAGCAAACACAAAGACAGGGGATCAGAGAGCTGACAGAGGTGTTGGAGGTGCTGCTAGCAAGGGGAAATGTTTCCTTCACTCCCCCCATCTAATTGTGAGACCTTTGTTTGGGGTCCCATAGCCCCAGCCAAGCCTGGAGGGGTACAGCCTCACCTGAACCTGGATGGGGGGGTACTCGAAGCTCAGTGACACCTCCTTGGTGAGCTTCTCAGGTGTACCCTGGATCTCAGCGATGGCAGTGACTTGGACATGCTCTTCATCGTCCACTGTGGCCAATGCCTTCATGTAAGCATCAGGCATGATCTTCAGTGGGACATGCACCTCTGCAGGACAGAAAGCGTGACCTGGCTCTTTAGCACATCAGTAGCAGAAGCAGCACTGGTGGCAGTGCCTAGTGATGCTGGTGGGATGCAGGGTGAAGCATATTTGCTGAGGCCATCCTGCCCTGCATACCCATCTCCCCCCCATGCAAGTGCTGGCTCAGAAAGCACTAGAAGCAAAGATATAGATGTATATTTTTGGGAAGAGTGACTCATGCTTGGGATGAGCAAATACTGTTAAGTATTCATCGCTCGTTAGTGTGTTGTTTGGCACACTGCAGTCGTGCTGCTGGGGATCAGCAGTGTAGCCTAGGTTGCTCAAAGATATGGAGGAAGCAACAGATAACCCTGGGGGTAAATAGCCTACAAAACGTATCACAATTTCCATGCCTACCAGATTGGCCTTCCACCTTGACAGTCTGCTTGATATGTCCAAGATTGGCATGGACTTTCCCAGTGTAGGACTGCAGCTGGCAGGAGCTGGCAAGGTCTACAGTCCAGCTCCCAGCCACGGTGCTCTTCACGGTGATGACCACTTCAATGGGATTACCAGGATACAGAGGCTTTTCATTGGTTATCTCCACCTGGACCCCAGACTTGGGGACCACCTCATTTTGGACCGTGTCCTTGTCACCCACATTTCTTAGGCTCACATCCATGGGGACTGCAGCAAAGTGTGCACGAGGTGTCATCCCTGAGGGCTGCAGGTAAGAGACGGCTCTCTTCATGGATGCTCTTTCCTCTGAAGAGCCTGATGAAGGAAAAAAGCTTCCTCAGACCTGTATCTCAGCGCCCCCACCCAGAGCCACCTCCCTTCCCTTTATTTGTTCTTCTGCTGCTGAGCAGAAGGTGTCAAGGCACCGACTGCCTCAGCCTCAGCTCAGGAGAGCCCCGTGGTTTGTGCTATTTGTGCTACCGCTGGAAGCGGGGCCTGCCTTCTGACTCTGCTTTGGAGGATGGGGGGCAGTCACCTTCAGGGAACTTGTACTGCCAGGTGATGTCCTCCCTCCTGTTCTGCCCCACGGCCTTCGTGCTGATGTTGGCGCCGATGCTCTGGCTCTCCACGCCCAGCTTGGTGTACTTGTTCCTGCCGTTCTCCTCCGTGACGCGCCAGTAGACCTTGTCGGCGTTCACTTCCGCGTACACAAACTTGCTGTCATAGGGCAAATACACGTCTCCATCTTTGACTGCCTTCACTGGGCACGGGCCACACTGGAAAATACCTGTAAAGCACATTCAGTGCTATTTGCTGTGCCAAACATGACACACACGTAGTGCATTTAAACATTCATGCACCCAACAGTGCCCTACAGGGTTGGCTTCCAGCCTGCCAAGAGACACAATTCCCTGCTTCCTGGGCTCAGACCGCAGGAGTGAGATTGCCGGCCTCAGGAGCTCACAGCTGGCTGGAGACCACAGCTCCATACAAAACATCCCTGCCTCCCTTGGGAGTTGCAGAAGAGCCCTTCCAGGTAAATCCTACCTTGACTTTGCTCCTGAGGGGTCGCGTCGATTGCCTGCCAGCCATCAAACCCCGATGGCAGATCCTTCCGCTTCATCCAGACATCATTCCACACGTGGAAGTTCCTGTGCACATTCAGGTTGCAAAGAAAGGGAGTGAGGTGTTGTAGGTAAGAGCGGTGAGCTCCTCTGCTTAGCTCTTCCAGAGGGCAGCTTTAACAGGGGATTTGTGTGCAGCCCTGTGAAACCCTAGGCTGCCTCCCTCTCCCCAGCAGCAAACACAAAGCAAAGGGAAACTCTCAAAGAAAAGCCTACCGGGGCTGGGGAATGCAGCATTGCAGGGATTAGGGAGGGTTAACCCTACCAGACAGAGTCAGAGGACATCCATTTCAGCTTTTCTCCTTTCTCGTTCAGGTAGACATCAACCCTCAGGTTCTCGTCAGTGTCATGCGCCGAGTTGAAGTTGCTCACACTGCGGGCTGGGATCCCCAGGCAGCGCATGACTGCAACACAAACAGAACACAGGGTTACAAAATCACTAGTGGGCACCACTGGGGTCACCTGGTCCAAACCCTGTTAAAACAGCAACACTCAGAGCAGGAGCCCAGGCCCGCATCCAAGTGGGTTTTGGAGAACCCCAGAGAGGAGACCCCACGGCCTCTGGGCAGCCTGTGCCAGCACTCAGTCACCCACACAGCACAGAGTGCTGCCCAGTGTTCAGAGGGAGCTCCTGTGCTCCACTCTGTGCCCATGGCCTCTTGTTCCAGTGCTGGGCTCCGCTGAACAGAGCCTAACTCTCAGTGCATCACTCTCTCCCACTTGCTATTTATACACATGGATAAGACCCCTTAGCCTTTGCTATAGCAGTCCCAGCTCCCTCAGCCTCTCCTCATATGACAGGTGCCTCAAGTCTTTAATGAAAACACCAGGATCAAAGGGCATGCAGAAGTTTCCCTGGATTACTAGCCCAGTAATTAGGATATGAGATAGAGAGACATGATTTCACCCCTTACCTGTAGTGAGGACTCCTGAGAAGACCCAACATTGACCATAACTGACAGGCTTCTTCGTTTTGTAATACTGCTGCAAAATTGCAACGCTCCCAATCCATGCCATGGGGGAAGTCCCATTCTCGTACTTCCCTGACCAGTTTCCCAGCACGACACCACTGTCATCGTTGGCATTCACCTGTATCCATGCACACACAGAGGAGAGAAGTTCAGGGATGAGGCTGAATGAGGCCCACATCTTCCTAAGGTGCTCCACAGCTCTACAAGACTGCTGGCACCAGCAGGGGCTTCCCTGCCTGGAACCCCTCTGCCTGGATGTCTTCAAGCATCCCAGGCCCCAGCGCTCCCAGAAAGCCTCCCAGTGCAACCAGCAGCTGCCCCTGAAGCAGACTGGGCCTGGCCACCAGCTGCCTACTAAAGGACAACTGCTGGGCCAGTGGCACATTTTGGAAATGGAGAGATGCTGCATTTCTCCTGCCTCTTCCCTCCACCCAAAATGCCTCCCTAGCTCTTCTCCTGCAGTTTTGTATTCATTCCAATCCCCAGGGAAATAAAAGCGAGCAAGAAGGAAGGAAAACTGGAGGGGCAAACCACTCCTCTGAGAGAGCCATACCAAAGCAGACATGGCCCTGGACACAACCACGGGATCCCTTCTACTGCTCATCTTGAGCTTGCTTTTGTCCAGCAGGTACATGCAGGCATCCAGGATCAATTCCTCAAACTGTTTTGGAGAGAAAAAGGAGACATTTTTACACATCACTCTGAAAGAGGATTTGCTCACTCACCTTCAGGTCTATCTAGGTATTTGGAGGAAACTGCCAAACTAGCCCTACCTTCTGACCTTTCTTTATGATATTGAATGAACCTACTTCTACTCTCTGGCCAATGTTGGTGGTAGATGGCTAGTTGGACTAGATGATCTTAAAGATCTTTCCCAACCTCAGTGATTCTACGATTCTGTGATTCTGGAGCCTATGGAGCTTCCCAAAGGCTTTTTCTCCAAAGAAGAGTTTAAATGAAAACCCACCTTGGGAGAGACCAGCCTATGTCATGTGTCTCGCAAGCAGAGCCAGAACCTGGCCCAGCAACTTCTTGCTCTTGTGAGCACTCCTCAGTCAGCTACACCACCCCCCTGAAGCCTTGCACATTGCTCACATGAATAACGATATTTTGAGAGGATTACAGATATTCAGGCTATTGACATACATAAAATAGATTCTGGTTAAAAAAATACATAATTGCAGATTACTATGGCAAAAGATTCCTAATTAGCAGGTGCTGATAAAGCTCCCTCAGATCCTTCTCAGAGAGATGTCAGGCATCCTACACAATGAAACCTGGCAGAATATCTGCATCGCTTCCCCTTGCTTCATAGCAGAATAAAACAAAGACAGGCACAGTCCTATGGGCAATGCCCTTTGGCCCATCTGTGGAAAAGGCATCACCACGAGGACTTTTGATGGGCTCCTCTATGTTATTCCGTGTGAAACTGTAGACTTGGAGAACAAAATAGAGCAAAAAAAGGAACCCCCAAAAGAACCAAAAAAAAAAAAAAAAAAAGATTGCAACAGCACTAATGATGCAATGGGGACAGAATCAGATATCATCATGTATCCACCCTCTCCCCCGCTGCTGAGCTGGTCAGTAAGGGGGATCCCAGAGGGGAAGATTTGGTCAGAAATGCTCTGTTCTCATTTTCTGAAGAATTTACCAGTATCTGGTGATCTGAGGGCCAATGTGCCACTGAGCTCTAGTCTGGGGCTAGGGAATCTGCTTAAGCAGATAGTTTACTCTAAGCACCTGAGATTTCCCAGTGAAACTGGGGGACTACTCAAGTGCTTTAAGCTGCTCGTGGGCTTAATCTATTTGTAGATTCATTTAAATTAACACCAAACAGAGAAAGAGTGAAGAGAGGTATTGATGTTGTGGGGACAGCTGTGCCTTACCTGCCCAAAATTCCAGGGTTTGCTGTGTATGTTGAAGGCAGACCCAACATAGATGTAGCCTGTATCATTGAGTACGTACTCCTTTCTCTCAGCCTCGTTGGACAGGAAGACAATATCACCTTGAAGAAAAACACTCAGATGTTGGCTGACTTTCACACCTGCTATAGGAAGATTTTCCTGGAAAGCTGCACCATGGCAGTTGGTGGTCTGTAACACTCACACCGCTTGGTGGCTGTGTGGCATTCACACTTTTCTTGCTATTGTGGGAGAGTTCCTACAAGGTTAGTCTTTATTTTAAGCCCTAGGGGCTCCCCAGTGAGGAGCTGGCTCACTGCTCTTGACCCACAGGGATGCAGCAATTTGGAGAGAAGAAAGGATGTACATGGGAAGGGGGAGAGGGGAAGCTCCGAGGTCAAGTCCTTGAAAGCAGTATTGATAACCCAGTTTGCTGGACCACTTTCCTTACCTTCACACCAAGGGTTGAACAGAAGGTAGATGGTGTTCTTCTCGGGCTTGTAAACATTAGGGCCAGTCTTCACTATCAGGCCGTATATTCCCACAGCAGCATTGGGTGCGCTGGTGACAGACAGAGTGCACTGGGAGGCAACAAGGAGAGGGGACATGACATGACATGACCAACCTTCCATGATGGCACCAGTGGTGTGGGGCAGAGGGATGGGGCACATCCTATGTGCTCAGTAGGAAAGTGGGAGGTGAACAGGGCAAATGGAAATCCATAGGGCTAAGGAAACACAGGACAGGGGCTATGGGTTTTCCTTCCAGTGCTGCCTCATGCCCTACCTCTGTGCCACTGGATTTGACCATGGAGATTTGCCAGCCGCTGACATTCCTCGTGCTCCTGGGGTTCAGTGACATCAGGGTCCCCGTGGGCTCCATTGGCTTTTCACCTGGAAATAACAAGTTGCATGGGTTTGCAGGGCTGTGCAGTGCCCGGTGCTCTCCCACTCGGAGCAGTGCTTACCAATGCTGAAGTGCAGTGACAGCTTGTCGGCGGCTCGCAGCTCCCTGCTGAGGGTCAGCTGCAGCAGGAAGGGCTGCCCACGCCGCACCACCAGGTTCGAGGTGTTGTACGCATCCGTGTGGTGCTGCACCGAGTTCTGGCTCTTGAGGAAGTCAACCTTGGTGACCTTCAGGTCGCTGTCTGAAAGATCATTCGCAGAGAGGGAGGGAGACAGGAAAAAATAAATTGGTGTATTGGTCAGTAAAGATAGCTTTCTTCTTACTAGAGCTTTTGTGGGTCACGAAAACACCTGGGCACCCAGGGGTCCAGCAAGAATGCTTGTCAAAGACCACTGCAAGGAACAGATGGCTCAACAGCAAAAAATAATACCACTTAACAATACCACTTCTCCTGCCTTTGGGTCTGGAGCATCCCACCTCATGGTGCAGGTGCTGGGTGCAAGAGGGGTCACGCTGGCAGCAGCCAGGACCATCCTCCTATGACACAACTTGCTTTGCCACAAAGCAAACTTTGCCTCGGCACAGAAACACTTCTGTATTGTTTTTAGTTTTGTTTTTGCTCTTCTGGAGCAGATGCCAAAGGGAATGGTGCCACAGGCACTTGCATGCAGCTATGCGTCTTCCTCACCTTGCTGTCCTTCACTGTAGGCAACATGTGCACGTGTGTATAAACAGCTATAGAAATATATGTGCAGCCAAGGGCAAGGATCTTTGAGCACTACAAACGGTTGTTATTGCCAATATTAAAGCCACAGTGATAGTAGTGGCAGTAGAAGCAGTCATTGTAGTAGGAGTAGTTATAGTAATAACAGCCAGGACCAGTGACTTAAAAATTAACCCCGACTGTTGATTTTTTTCTCAGACCAAAGACTTTATTAGCCTTATCTTGGCACTGAATTCATCTGCTGTGATTATCAGTTAATGGTTGACAGCAGCCACAATTGACCGTTGTGGGATGTAGGCACTTAGCCAAGTTGGATGTAACCCAAAAGTGTCAAAAGTCAGCCCTCCAAACTGCTGAACTTTGCAGGAGCAAAGCAAGACCCCTCTGCTTCCCACTAAGATGGGGACCTGGGGCTCTGCTCAGGTTGGGCAGGGATAGTCAGAGCATGCCAGGACACAGCCATGGCTCCTCTGAAGTGTCAAACCGTGTCCTGCCTCTGCCTGTGAGCCTCTTTAGAGCTAAGTGCTGTGCAAACAGCAGGGAGTAGCAACGCTAAGCAAGCGTTTGGCTCACAAGTGATTCAGATAAAGAGGTGGGCGAGTCAGGAAGTATGAAAACTGGGATCACTTGGAAATAAAGAAGTCAAAGGTAGGAGGGGTTAAGGGATTAGGTCACAAAATGCCTTGACAGTTTTATATGGCACTGCCAGCAGTGCCAAGGTGAGCATCACTGGGAGCCAGCCCTAGCACCAGGGAGGCTGAGATGTGCCGCTGGCTGCTGTGGACATGGCTTCACGTGAGAGAGGCTGTGAGCAGGGCTGGATCCTGAAACCCAGCCCAGATCAAGGCTACAATTGCTGCACAATGACTACAGCTCTGAGCAAACCGAAGTGATCGCCCAGTGAGCTGCACTGAGTTACTGCCTCCCTGCATTTCCTCCTATTTACTCAATAAACCACATTTATCATCGCTGTGTAAGAATTATCAGAAGTGTGGTAAACAGACTTAAAATTAACCATCACCTTTCGTTTACTGGTTGCCTTTTGAAGTGCTTTTTGTTTGCTTGCTCCATGCCACTGTCAATCTAGGGCTGATATTTTGCACAACAGGGTATGCAGGACACCAAAAATTTCAGCAGGAATCGTTCAACCCTTTGCTGAAGGAGAACTGAAGGGATAAACCAATCTCCAGCCACCAGAGCTGCTTGCCCTTGCTCCTTTCTGAAGTTCTGGTGATCCTGTGCTCAGGAAAGACATTCAGCTGTTGGATTGGGTTCAGAGGAGGGCCATGAAGATGATGAGAGGGCTGGAGCACCTCTCCTGTGAGGAAAGTTTGAGGGAACTGGGCCTGTTTAGCTTGGAGAAGGGAAGACTCTGGAGAGACCTCATTGTGGTCTTCAAGTACTTGAAGGGAACTTAGAAACGGATGAGGAACCAACTTTTTACATCATCTGATAGTGATACGACAAGGGGGGATGCCTTTAAACTTAAAGAAGGGAGATTTAGGTTAGATGCTAGGAAGAAACTCTTCACTCAAGGGGTGGTGAGGCCCTGGCACAGCTGTCCAGAGAAGCTGTGGTGCCCCATTCCTGGAGACACTCAAAGCCAGGTTGGATGGGGCTCTGGGCAGCCTGGTCTGGTGGGTGGCAGCCCTGCTCATGGCAGGAGGTTGGGCTTGGGTGAGTTTTAAGGTCCCTTCCAACCCAAATCACTCTGTGATTCTATGATTTTCATCTCAGAATATTTTTTTGTTGACTATCGTTGATATTGAGGATGCAGAGAGAAAATAATGCAGCTAATCATTAATTATTTTTTTGAAGCATGCCCTGACTGTGCCATGTCTCAAGTTGAAGAGCTGTGCCTGCCCAGGGCTGCATGCTGACCTCCCTGCACTGATTTCTGAGAAATCAGTGATTCCTGGTGATCTGCGGTCCAGCTGACACAGCTGTTTGTTCTGAGGAATGCCATGGAACCAGCTGGAGGCATCCCCTATCTTTTGGAAGCATCTCCACCCTTAGGCTGCCTTCTTTGCACTGCCTGCAGGCTTGTAAACATGAGAATTAATGGTTTATAGTGGATGAGTGCTCTGAAATACATAAATATATAGATATATTTCTCTTCTAGTTCCATGATTTATCTGTTACAGAGGTGTTACAACCTGACCCACAGCCTCATCCTTACAGCCCCATCCGTAAGTCATGAGGTTTAAAAAATCATATTGTAGAGCAGTGTGTTTATAGCCAGTCTGGCTTCAGTGGGGGTAAGGACTTCTCAGAAAGGAAGTGCAGTGGGAATTACATAGTCTGGCTGCAAGAAGGAACAACGTTTAGATACCTGTATTCACTTACCATCCTTGCCCAACCTCGGGAGAGCACTCATCTCAGGACAAAGCCTGAGGCTGGCAAGGAAATTCCAGCTCATCCACACACAGGGCACAGAGGTATGAAATCATATATTCATAGAATCATTAAGGTTGGTGCCATGGTTCTTGAACATCTCCAGGGACGGTGACTGCACCACCTCCCTGGGCAGCCTGTGCCACTGCCTCACTGCTCTTTCTGAGAAGAAATTTGTCCTAATATCCAACCTGAGCCTTCCCTGGGCAGCACTGGACAGCCCAGCCCTGCTGCCAGCTGTGCCTTTGGCACCAGCCACCCCTGTTGCCCAGGGCTTGGGGTGGCCCCAGCAGCTGCAGCCACTGCAGGAGTGACTCAGGCACTGGGTCAGTGCAGGTTCTGCTGACAATAGGGTAAGCCAAATAAATCCCTCTCATTCACACTGCAACTTCTGACAAGTGGTGTCAACCATCCCTGAAGAGCAATACTCTACACAATCAAGCAGGATGAAAGAATGAAATTCTTTTCAGCTTAGCCCAGTAAGCTTTTAAAAAACACACTTCTTGCCCATTACCACTGGCTGAGCCAGATATCTACAGGTTGAAGGAGAACAATGAACACCGAGTTGCGCCTTCCAGCCATGTGAACCCTCAAAACCACCTGCACAGCCTGACCCCAAAAGCAGCACTTCCCCAGCAGCACCCAGATGCTTTTCCTCAAAGACCCGCTCACCGCAGCCTCCTGGAGCCCCAGTCCTCACCACAGGAGCCCTGCCAAGCTGCAAATATACCGCAAGTTATCATAAAGCTCATCAGTACCTTGGCTCATGGTTCCTGCCGGTGGTGTGACCAGAGGAGAATGCGATGCTGGTGGCTTCTGAGCTCCCGAGTAGCCTCTGCCCTTGCCTGTGTGCTTGCAGCAGGAACAGGGCTGCCCTTTTTATCTCTCCTGCTCTGAGGTGTCAGCAGGTCCATTGCCAAGGGGTGGTGTTTAAAGAAAGGAAGTTCCTGCAGAAGAAAAAAAAAAAAAAATGACTACAACTCCCTCTGCACATAGTCAGCCCCTGAAGAACAGCGAAACTTAAATCCCGCCTCTCATGGAAGGTAAATTTGCACAATCTGATGACAACTGGACAGACCCTTCACTGACAAATAGTAAATCATGGATTAGATGAGTAACGAGAATGCACTCGTGCCCTAATATTCAGGCTACTGGGACTGGGCTAACTTCAAGGGGCAGCTCACAAATGTTCTTCAGTTCTTCAGAAATTAAGAGTTTCCCACCAGGAATGGTCCAATATTCTTTGAATTTAACAAGATTTTTGTCATGGGGTTTGGGACAGAAACGTTCGATGCTGTGAGCTAACAGCCAGTGCTCCCACCTGTGGCAAAGCCCCTTACCTGTGGTGTTGGGTGGAGGCTGGAGGACAAAGTGGGTGGGAAGAAGAGAGCAAGACTAAGTCCAGAAGGAACAAGAAATGTGGTGGACCAGGAGCCATCGCTGGCTGAAGAGAGCCTCTGCCCAGGAGCTGCTGGACCCCATGTGCCCCATTGCCTCCTTGTCCTGGGGTGACCAAAGGGGGAGAGAGGAGGGCATCCCATTGAGGGCACAACTGGTGGCACAGGTCATCAGTGACATGGGCACGGTGGCCAGGGGCAGAGAGAGATGAAAGTGTTCCCTCAGATACTCCAAAGTGAAGGAGCAGCTCAGCAGCAGGAGCAGCCTCAGCCCTCCCCTGTGCGGCAGCAGTCAATGCTGAGCGCTGCACAGTGTGCTTTGACCACCAGCATAGGATTCAGGATGCAAGAGTAGCACATCTAAGCGTATGAGCTCCCTAAATAACATCTCAGTGCTCTCAGTCACGTGGTCTGATTTTTGTGTGGTTCTGTGTGGAGCCAGAAGTTGGACTCAATTATCCTTACATATCCTTTCTAACTTGGGATATTATGACTCTACCTCCCTATGAAGCTTTCAATTCAGGTAGCAAGGTATTTGCTTTAGGAGGACCTGTTCCATTCGGTGCCAAGTTAGCAGATTCCACCCTCCAAGCATGTCCCTGCTTGCTTCAGGAGCAAGTGAGATGTCCCCACTTGAGAGCATGACAGGCACATCACGGGGCACGGAAGGTTCAGCATGCATTCCTAATCTCTCAGGACATCAATATGAACATCTGAGCTGGCAGCGGTCGCAACAGCCACAGCATCACCCACCCTTCAGAGCCAGACACTGTGCTGCCTCTTGAATGTTTCACTGTTGAAAAAGCACTGCAACTCCAGTTCACCTTTCAGCATTGCCCTCATTCTGTGCTTCTTTCATCCTAGAGGGTGGAAGACACTTTTGTTTAGAAGTAGGATGGGATGAAGTAAAGTATGCATGGAATGTCAATACAGTAACACAACCAATAGTATGTGTGATCGGAACATCTACAAGCTATGTTGCTGGTTTCCATTTGGTTGTAGCAACGACCAAAATCCACTTAATCTGAAGTCACTGACAGTAGCTTTCGAATCCAGTCTCAACCTGCTGTAGACATCGTTCCGTGTTTGGTTCAAGGCAGCTTACATTGTCTTGGCACAGTAGTCTTACAGCAAAAACTACAGATTTTTGCAAACAGGAAGGGACTGATGTCAGTAACGCTTTGCTCCTGAAAAAGGAATTACATCGGTATGCACTGGAGGGTCAGCGCAGGCAGGGCGTGTATTCTAGTTCCGTAGGGTTTTGCAAAAGGCTGATTACAACGAGATGCACGTTCTGATCCTCTGAGCCTCAGAGTTCAAGGAAAGACTGCTGAAATCAGGTGGGTGTGAGTTCTGCCCATCAATGAACCTTTGTCTTTGAAGACAGCTGACCTTTACGCTGTCTCCAGGACGTCTTGGTTTACACCAGCAGACAGGGGCTAGCTTTCATTTCTGCTTTCACTTTGTGCAGCTGCTGGTCTTCCCTGCTCCCGTTACCTTCTTCTGTGCTTTGTTATCATCTCAAATCAACAGCACTAAACTTGGAGCACGGTGCAACACTCCAGCAAGAGAGCATCCTCCCCCACCTCGTACCAGCTTGCTCCGCCAGAAACGGCTGTTATTAAATGTAATACACTCTGGGAGAGCTGTTGGCAAGCTCTGAGAAAAGGGATTGTAGGAATGTTTTTCAACTACATGGCATTTACTGGTTCCATGTTGTCAGCAGGTCATCCCCCTCCTTCCTGCCACCACTCTCCTCCTGCCCTTGCTGGATGGAGAGGGCAGAGTGCTGTGGTCCTGTGCTGTGGCTTTTCCCTATCTCTGTTTCTTGCTGTTAAAGACCTCAGGGCTCCTTATTTTTTTCCCCAAACAGCTGCAACAGTTAATCATTTCAATCAGGCTTATGAAAAGCCTAATATGCTCTTCTAATTGATAGAAGCAGGACATGATCTTTTTTCCCCCCGGTAATCACCAGACTGTTACTTATCGCTGCAGCCAAGCTTAAGCTCCCACAGTTCTGTTCCTAGCTTGCAAAATCAGACACCAGAGGCTATTAGCCTTATCTGCACTTACCTGCAGAAAGGTTAAGTCAACTTATTAGCTGACACAAAATGCAACACAATGCAAACAAACAAAACTAGAATTCCCCAGTGGCTGCTCCCCTATTTACAAGCTTGCTCTTTGTCCCAGCTTTTGTTTATTTTGTGTATCAAAATGACGAGAGTAAGGCAAACCTCCAGAGCATTCCCACAGATACTGATGCCGTGCGGGAACAAGAAGCACAAACCAATCCTCAGCTTGCAGTTTTAGTCAATCACAGGTCTAGTTATGGAGAAGTTGCCTTTTATAACAGTGACACCAGACCTGCGTTTTTTATCACCATTCAAGCATTTGAGTTGCTCCCATCTTTTTTAAATTTCCTGCATCCAGAGCAACTCTCAAAAACGCAGATCAAAAGTGCCACAGCCTTCTGTCTTTAGGAATTTCCTCATGGTGAGACACATCTACACGTAAGGAACCCGACGTGATCTCGCTGCTGTTACTCTCGAGGGAGCGCTGATCCGATCACTCCTCACTCATGCCCTTTCAGCACAGCCCATGACAGTGGCCTGTCAGCTACGCCCTGCGGGCATCCCGTCCTCCCAAGCAGGCAGATTCTCCCCTAACCCGACGTGAGCTAACTTGTGGCAGCCGATCGGACGTCAGGGCTTGATGCAAGATGGCCAAGCCCAGATCGTAACCATTTCCAAGGCACCTGGCCACAGCTCATTCATAATGAGTTTCTCATTAGCAAATACTGAGACGTAATAGATACCAATAAGCTTGCAATGGAAACTCCGTTGTTTCATTCTGATTTATTCGTTAAGGAATGTATGGATCTAATGTTATGGGTTTGGGTGCCAAGTTTTGGGCATTCACCTCCAGCAGGAATGAAAACAGTCCCTGTATCCAACCTAGCATCCCTCAGAGGCAAAGAAGGCTTTTTGCGTCAAATGGAGACCAAAGCTACACATATCCCAGACATCAGTCCATGGCCTTGTAATCCTTCCTCAGGCAAAAACCTCTTGCGTAGCTCTGAAGGAAAAGAGCTGCTTTAACAGTAAGCCAGAGTGACACAGTGCTAACTGTGTTCTTCTGGTTATTTTCAAAGACCTTTCTCTGGCTGAGTTGCATGAGGCAAGGGTGGCCGCAGCATATGGGGCAACCCTGTCTAGAAATAGACCCTAGGATGTCAGAATTGCGCAGTGTTACCCTTAACTCTTGTAAAATCACCGGAAGCACCAAAATAATCACCTTGCAGGGCTGAAAGGATTACGGTACTTTTTCGACAAAAATGGTTCAGGTCAAAGTACTATTTGTTTCCAAGATGCTTCTTTAGAATTATGTGCAAGAATTGATGAAAATACCTCTGCAATGCCACTTTTTCCAGGCAGCAGCTTCCTCTCTTGTGAAATTGTTCCTTTTTTAACCCAAGTAAATCGTCAGCACTTGCTGTGACGTGGAACAGGGGCTCCCAGGCTGAGTTCTGTTCCATGCAAGGAGGAAGCTGCTTCAGCTTTGCCTGTAGCCCCTGTCCTTGTGGTAGAGGAGACGGTGGGCAACTGGCAAGTGCAAGTCATGGCCTTCTCAACCCCTTGCTGCAAGACACCGCTGGCCCCTTTCCCAGCCTAACCCGCAGACCTGCTCCTCACACCTCCACCCCATCGGTAGACATAGAGAAAGCCTTGCACCCCAGGAAGGCCTGCGCACGGCCACAGCATGCAGGACATCCTTGGAAAGGGTTCAGTGGGGCGGGTGCAGCCACCGCAGGGCCATTACTCCACCCTAGAGCCCTGAACCAGCTTCCAGGGTGCATGTGCGGCCACGCTGACTGATTGCAGTGTGGACACACATCCACGGCCTACACCTACAGCAAACAATATGAAAAGGCACGAGGAAAAAGGAGCAGAAGAAGGTTGTAGAAAAAATAAATGGTGAGGGCAAGGAAATCAACAGCATAAATATTGACTCAGCGATAAACAGTTTATCCATATATTTAAAACAGTTTCAGAGAACAAGGAAAATACTGACTGAATGCCTTCCCACCTACAGGATATGTATTTGGCTGCACATGCCTGACTGAGAAAATAGAAACTGGCCTGCCAGCTTCTTCAAGTGACATTTCTTCCTGCAGGGGCGGCACAGCTGCTTCCTGTCTGCCCCTGTGGGGATGCCCACAACACGTGTGGCTGCATGGATGGGCACAGCACGGTGGGTTTTGTGTCTGGGGACCTGCAGCTGTTTGCCCTGGGAAGCTGCTGACTGCAGTGTGGACACACGCTCCCATTCATCCCTCTTTGCAAGATCCAGGTCGTTGCCCTTCATAGCAGCTCAAGAAGTTCATTTGGATAGGCAGCTGGAACAGCTCCAGGCCCATTAGGATTTCTTAGGAAGCATCTTCCTGCAGCACTGGTTCCTGACAGCCGTGCCTGCCTGTTGCCTAACTTGGGAATGTCCTCAAGGGATCGAGTCACTTGAAACATCTCACTCGGCAGCATAAAACGTGG